AAAAACAAGCTTTGAAGTATTTTTTATTTATTTCCTAAACTATAATAACTTAAATATATATTATTTGGTATTTTTCATCATTATTGAATAACATTATTTGAATTATTTAGTAAATATTGAATAAATTCATGCAGAATCATATCCATTAGTTAGTACTATTTGTATTTCTTGCCGTTATAGAGTGGGGGAACATGCTGGCGAGCCGGACCGTTTTCTCGACCAAGCGAATATCGTGAGCACGCACTCCAGTAAAGTATATGTATCTCGATGGGGAATTGTAAACAATAACACCAACCTATAAGATGGCGACGCCAGAAAAATCAGTTTAGGCGGGATACCCCCAGTGTCCTTTCTGGTTATTCTGTGACCGAGTGCTCCAGTGGGCATAGCCGGCGAAAGGCGGTTGCCAGCGGTCGGGCCGGCGCCGGGTAGGTTCGTCCGGTACGTCGGAAATGGTGCACACTAGCTTATACCAGTTCGATCACCCGGCGCCGGAACGGCACCGGACGCATCTATCAGGCACGTGTAAAGCTACTCTAAGGGTAGGCGCACACGCATCGATTTCGATCGTACAGAAAAATATCGTATGATCAAATTCTTTTAGTGGAACAAGGAAGAGCATAAGAGCGTGCACAAGCTTCGAACTGTACACGATACGACACGATCTCCGTGTTGATGCCGTGTATTGCCACTACGATAGACGGACGCCGTGTCGTTGCCGTGAATACAGTGGCGTATATGATCCAACGAACGCTTGCACACTCAACGATTTTTATTCGTACGATAAATATTCCCGCCAATTTCTAACATTGTGTGGTCACCATTTTATAAATATAATTAGTAGCTGTCACTATGGACGACAATGTGGATAACGAAGTCCTCATTTCATTGGTTCAAACCAAACCAGTGTTGTGGGATAAAACGCTACCAATTTACAAAGATAGGAATGCTACAAAAAATGCATGGAAGGACGTCTGCTGCGAAATAAATAAAAATTTTAAAGACATGGAAGATAAGGAAAAAAACGAGTTCGGTAAGTTATATATATTTATATTGTATTTAGCTATAAATAAAATATAGAAATGTTAAAATATTCTGACTTTGCGAGTGTTGATAGGCTACTTTATTTTTCATATTTTAGCCATTTGCCAAGGAACGGCACCAACGCTTGTTACAAAATATTTGCTTAATAAGTTTCTGATATTGTTTGCTTGAAGACCACCTCGTATTGTGGTTTCTTCTGGTAAATCTTCCAGTCCGGCTATTGTTGTAGTATCTTCAGCCAAAAACCCGTCCCGGTCACGAACAAAGTTATGAAGAACAACACAAGCTTTAATAATGTCAACTGCAAAATCAGGATCTACGTCAATAGACCGATGAAATATTCTCAATTTATTGCTTAATATCCCAAAGGCACACTCGACATAACGTCTAGCTCTGCACAACCGGTAGTTAAATATTCTCTTCTCTTGCGTCAAGTGTGCTCCTCCATATGCCCGTAACAAACGTATATGTAGCCCGAACGCTTCATCCCCAACAAAGAAGTATGGAACTTTAGGAGTTTCTGTGCCCGGGAGATATTTGTCATCTGGTAGTTGTAGTGTATTTGTTGTTATTGAGTTCCAAAGAACGGTTCGTTTAAAAATGGAAGAATCGCAATCTTTGCCAAAGCTCCCAATGTTAACATAAACAAAGCGGTATTTTGAGTCTGCAATTGCCATCAACACTACTGAATGATAATCTTTGTAATTAAAATACATGGAGCCACTTTTCGCTGGACTCATTATGCGAATGTGTTTCCCATCGACGGCGCCTAGGCAGTGTGGAAAATTGGCGGTTTTTTCAAAATCATCAGCAGAGCCACGACGTTTCGGGCTGATGATGTCACCATGTGTATAGAGCAGCGAACGGGTTATAGCGTAGTAGTAACATGCTTGTATTGAACACATCGATGTGCCGCAACGTAACGATACTGGTTGAATGCTGGCCCATGTAAAATTTGTTGGGGGGTTCTCTACGGTGCAGCGTTCAATACGTGTTTGGCCGATTGTCCGACTAAAACTCAACCATTGGCGTGGTATACTATATGTGGCGTGATGTGGTCCATGTGGCCCGAGTCTCTGCCGTAAGGCGACGAGCCGCCAGTGAGTTGCCCGACAACGTCGTGGCTTTGATCATCAGCAATAGATTCGAATCTGTCCTTTGAAAGTGGAGGTATGCATCCTTCTCTTAAGACCGACCAGATAGCTCTGCATACTTCTTTAACTATCTTTCCTGCTGTAGTGGCGCCAATTCGGAATGAATAATGTAGATCTTTGATCGAGCACCCACTTGCTAAATACCTGAAATAAATAACTGTTAAAATACTATCACTCTATTGTGTTTCATTGTGAATAAGACAAATGTTAAAACTACATAAGATAATTTAGTAGATTTTGGATTTTTGTATCTGTCATTCTTTCAGGGAAAGCAGTCATAAGAAGATGGACAAATCTCCGCGATGCATTTTCTAAATCTACAAAAAAACAGCAGCATTTTAAGAAAAGCGGCTCGGCCGCACCAAACGTAAAAAAATATGTGTACAATGACCAAATGCAATTTCTAAAGAAAGTGTATGAGTTAAGAGAAACTGTTGACAGCTTGGGAAACACACCTAACAGCGAAGATGGACTTGCTGATAATAATGAGCTTCAACCTGCTTCAGACGTGAACGAAGGCGTAGTTCGTCACAATCAAGCTACAAATAAAGAGAAAATGGCTGAGAGATTTGGCAACAGAAAACACCGCAATCCGGATGAAATTGAATTAAAAATGTTGAAGGCACTGGAGCCAGAAAAGCCAAATTCCCATATGTCATTCTTTGAAGGCATGATACCTCATTTAAAAAAATATGACTACAGTGAAGTTTTGGAATTCCAAATGGGCGTTCTTCGAGTAATTGCAATGATCAACGAGAAGAAAAGAACATCACGACTACCTACATTTCCCTACCATCCTCAACAGTATTCTCAGCCTTCTTCATTTGCCAATCCACAGCCTTCGTGCTCCAGCTCTTTTAACCCACTTTCAACTTATCAGACCTCATTCTCTCAACAACATCAGTCATTTGATTCGCAAAATAATCCTATTCCCAATCCAAACAACCAACAAAACTACACCTTCGGAAGAGAGCAATCTGCGACCCAGCGTACGCAATCAGCTGCGCAATATTATCACGACTTTAGCCAGTCCTCAGCAGCTACGTCCCCAGATATCTATGCAATGGACGATCCTTCCCCAACTCCATCTGGATCTCCACAGAACACGATTGATTTTACCACCTAAGTTTATTATATTAATAAATTAAAGCTAATATAAACAATTAAGGATATATGCAATAATTAAAATAATTTTGTTGTTTTTACTCACCTTAACGTTACAGCTAATCTTTCTTCTGATGGAATACTGTTTCTCATTTTCGTATTCGTATGTTGGATTTCACTCTTAAGTCGTTCATGCAATTCATTGAAGGATAATATTGACATACGGAAATAATTGAAGAACTTGTTCTCGTCCTTTCGAAGTTCTTGCACAAGTGTGTTAAATGCTCCATCTTGTTCTCGTTTTTCATTAATTGGATGAACCCAATACTTTCGGTTAAGCCTTCGCCTTCGTCGTATGAAACGACGGTACAACAACCACATGGCAACGACACGTTTCCGATTCATTTTCTCTAGCTTTTAGCAAATGGCTGCTTTACAATTGTTAAAGACAAATTGTTACGTGGAGAAAATCATAGTTAAAATAATGTACGATATTGTTCCGTACGATCTAAAATCGATTGTGTGTGCAAATAAAATATACGATAAAATAACGTACGATATTTTTCCGTACGATCGAAATCGATGCGTGTGCGCTTACCCTAACGGTGGTNACCACATGGCAACGACACGTTTCCGATTCATTTTCTCTAGCTTTTAGCAAATGGCTGCTTTACAATTGTTAAAGACAAATTGTTATGTGGAGAAAATCATAGTTAAAATAATGTACGATATTGTTTCGTACGATCTAAAATCGATTGTGCGTGCAAATAAAATATACGATAAAATAATGTACGATATTTTTCCGTACGATCGAAATCGATGCGTGTGCGGTTACCCTAACGGTTGTAAAGCAACTGTTTTCTTGAACGTGTTTTAACCTGTTCGTTTTTAAGAGGCCTGGTTCTCGCGTCCGCCTGTCGCGACGTTGACGTCATAAACACTACACATTTTTCTCTGTTTAGAAATAGGATGCCCATATAATTCTTAGCAATATTGAATAAAAAAGTTTTTTTATATCTCTAATAGTTTTTAATATACATATAGCGGGATACGTAAATTAATATTGACGAGCATCATTCTAGTAATTCTTCCATCATAGGTAGCCATGGATTGAAAATATATGAACATTTGTTAATTTGACTCAGCATCAAAGTTAGTCTTGCATTTGTTTCTTAAAAATGGAAAATCACCAGGAAGAGGTTGACATACTTTTAATTTACGGTGAAGCTCGCCGTAATTCAAGGGTAGCTGTCCGATTTTATCGCGAAAAGTATCCAGACCGAACTGTTCCGGACCACAAGTTTTTTACCCGATTGAAAAAAATTTAAGAAAAAATACAGACGCGTTTTCCTGTAGGAAACATGTTCCTATTAAAAAAACCGTATGCACGCGTCGTAGCTGAAGTTTGTCAGTTTTTTGAACAGAATCCTAGTGCATCTGTTAATATGGCAAGTCAACAATTAAATATTTCCTATTCCTCCATACGTCGAATACTTAAGAAGAACGGATATTTTGCATACAAATTGAAGAACTTGCAGCTTTTAAATGAAGATAACCGTAATAAACGCATAGATTTTTTAGCGGATATGGCCANTTAAGAAGAACGGATATTTTGCATACAAATTGAAGAACTTGCAGCTTTTAAATGAAGATAACCGTAATAAACGCATAGATTTTTTAGCGGATATGACCATATTGAAAGACTACAATAGAAGGATATATAATTACATTTTATGGACCGATTTGTGAGTAATGTACTTCCAAATAGGCAGAATGAAAGATACTGGACCACTGAAAATCCTAATGTAATAAAGTCGAAAATCAAGGCCACTTTGGAATTAATGTATGGTGCGGCATAATCGATCGATATTTAGTGGGTCCATATTTTTCCGATTACAATTTTAATGCACCAATCTTTCTCCATTTCTTAAAAAATGAAGTGCCCGATTTATTGCAAGATAAATGCAGGAAAATGAATGGTTTCAAATGGATGGAGCGCCCTATCACAATTCTGCAATTGTTACGCAATATATGAACCGCGTATATCCTGAGAGATGGATAGGAAGATCTGGCCCAGTCCGTTGGACAGTTAAGTCGCCAGACTTAAGCTGCATGGACTTCTTTTTATGGGGCGCAATCAAGAATATTGTATATAGTACTCCCATAAACAACGTTGAACATCTCAAACAAAAAATTCGTGGTGCTTGTAATACGATAAGTCGTGATACTCTTAGAAAAGTTACTCATAATGAAGTGAGAAGCCGGTTTCAGCACTGTTTGGCAGCGAATGGCGATCAGCTTGAGCACACTTTGTAAGTGAAACATATTATGTTTCTGTTGTTTTGATTTATTAAAATCAAAATTTATTGTTTTAAGGCTGTTCGACCGTTTCGTGGGAATAAATTCGTTGAAAGAGAAACGAAAGTTCAAAAAAGGATAGCATATATCGGTATGACAACTCCTCTGCTTTTCTATTGGTCAAGATCAGTTGTTAGAATTTTTTTTGTCGTTAGTCATTAAACAGATGTAAAGAAGAAATGTGTACTATAATTATATTAAATGTTTTTATCGCCTAATCCAATGCATCTGAATTAAACTTTTTTTTTTAAACCTTTATATTCTCTTATATTAAAAATTTGGATTAATTTGATAATTATACGACTACGATTAAAAATGTATATGTATTTTCATTCTCTTAGTTTTGTTTTTAATATATTATACGAAAAAGATAATCATAAGAAACATTTTTTCTAAAACTTATTATCTCTATCAATCATATAATTCCTACAACTAAATACTCATTCAATAATATTACTATAATCAAAAATGATAACCAATACACACATTTTTTTCAAAATCATAAAAATAATTTCAGATAAAATTTTATTGGTGAAAAATGTCATAAATGTTCAGATATAGTTAAAGAAATCGAGAAAAATTACAACAATAACATTATAATGGTTGTTTAATAATTTTATTTAACTTAAATTTTTAAAAAATTAACAGATTTTTCATTTTTAAGTTCCAAAAATTGCGGGTCCTGTCGGAGTCCACACAACAAAATAACATTTTTCCTTTTTCGTTATGTGAAGTTGCCCTTGTATTTGGTAAAAATAATTATATTGTGTTTTTAATTTTAATTCCTCATTTCGCGGTTGAAAAATATTATTTTTTTTGGTGCGGATACCATCTTCTATGTATATGTTTCTTAAATAATATGGGCATTTCACTTCTATTATGGAATTGTCGCTAACTTGCAACAGCAACTTGAGCAACTTGACTTGCTCCTAAAAAATAAAATTCTCTTTAATAAAGATGTACCTAATGTATTTATAAACCGCATGGATCTACATGTAGGCCAAAAATAATTTGAAAAGCTTCTATTGCTGTTTTTTTCATATTGGCAACCATATTCGGTAGATTTGTTGCCTCGAAAATATTTCCCAATAGGTATATTTTAAAAGTTTGTTCGGCGGTGTTGA